CCGGGGCGCCCCGGGGGGGGGGGGGGGCGCCTCGCCGCTCTCGCCGCGACCGCTCAGGTTGAAGCCACTCAAGCTTCTCGGTAACGGGGGTAATCCTTGCAGGGAAGACATCGCAATCCTTTCTTGAATACTAGAACATACAAGTGCGAGGTTTTTAGATAATTTATATTCTGTATACAATGGGATATATTTTCAACACGTTTCAATGAACAAGACAAAAGTATTTTCAGTAGTAAAGGATACATTTAGTGACAGAAATATCATTCTTGGCATCCAGTGAGTGCTCAAAGAACGGCATTTGTGTCACCAAATGAAAAACACTCAAAGTTAAGAAGCTAATGTTTAACTTATTAGACGTTAATTATTAATATTTAATATATGTAACAGTATAGTTGTCGCATATAAGTATTCTGGTTATTTTTGCCAAACAAGATATTTTAGTTGTAAAAATATCGGAGATGTAAGGTAAAAAGAACATTATAGTAAATCTATTCAAGATTATTAGTAAAGTAAATCTCATGATACATTTTTAAGATTGTAAGCACGACCAATTTACTTTATAAAATGTAAAAAGTATGTACAATATGGCTACACGACAATCATTTATCAGAAAAATAAAGTAAATTTTACGTAAGTGAGCGCTTATTCCTATATAGACCTGTCAATAAAATATTATAGAATTCTAGAGTACATATTACTTCGATTTCTCCGTGAAGGGGATGAAATTAATAGTTTCACGATATCACGACTCGGGGGAAGGGAAACTTCTGCGGTCTTCTTGTAAACTGTCACAGGTGAAGTACGATGGAAGCCACAGAAAATGGGAATATCATTACACGATCATCTTATGGGATAAAAATCAATTTTTATGAATGTCAATTGCCAATAAGAAGGCGGGGGATTTGGCGAATAACTCACATCACCCTGCAGTTATTATCATCGCGTGCACATCGCGGAAGTGTGCGATCGTTCAATCGTTCTTATCGATATCGATATCCGTTTGACTCAGCTTCGCTTACTTCTCATCTTATTTTCCGCATGCTGAGATGAGATTGATTCGATACGCCAGTGCAGCGATATCGATTCGATAGCAATTATAGATAGCGATATCAGTTTAAAAAGTCGATGCTCTTAATAATAAATTCCTCATCAACTTGTAGCCAGAACTGCCACAAATTTCTCGCCCTAAAATTTCATATAACTTTTCCAGACAAAATTTCATGATTTCTCATGACTTTCAATAATACTTTGCAATTTTTTGTATCTTCTTCCTAAAAACCGTTAAATATTTTTGGGAGAACAATTTAACATAACAATGTAAATTAATGTTGCTAACACTGCTTGCATTTAATTGTTGATAGTATTTCAAAATTACGTAAGTGTATGTTTGTACGCATGTTACTTCATTAAACTTCATTAAAATCAAGATTAATTTTTTTATAAAACTTTGCAAAATTCCCTGATTCTCCTCTAATTCCTCCGACCGTTTCCAATTTCCCTAACATTTCCCTAATTTCCTTGATTTCTAGCTTCGTAGCAATCAGTTATGAAAAAAGTATATTCATTTAGTCTCTATTTATATTTATATCTCGAGAATATATTCCTCTTTTTTTTATGTAACATTCATTAAATTATTCGTTTCATTTATATAACTGCACAATCTGCATAATATTGCACATTCATGTGCGCATAAATGCTACAGCAATACTCAAAAGACTAGTGTAACTTGTGAATTTTTCAGGATTTTATACCTGCACTAATTAAGGTTTCATGAACTGAAACTGAGGACAAAATAAAAAAAGGGAGCGCAAGCATTTTTTGAATGTTAGTTGACACTAATGAGCGGTTAGTTTTTACGGTTGGCTGAGACGGCATTTATCGCGAGAAAGCGATGCATTCATATCACCGGATAGTTGAATTTAGATAAATGCGCGTAATACAGTGAGCGACCCTGCAACTATCACGACTTCTCGATAATTATTACATCGTTAGCGCTGATGTGCAGTAACGTCACGCCTTACATCATAGAACACTTAAGCAATGTATTCGCACGACAATATTTTCCTCAAACACATTATTTTTAGTGCTGTACTCTAAAAATAAGAGCATCAAAATTCACTTTAAGAAGATTATGGTACATTTTAAACACACTCAAAAATTAAAAATGTTCAAATTGTTTAAATTAGGAAATCAGTGCTTCTTCTTATCTTGCAAGTTCTTCTTAATTATTATTATCACCCACGAGGAAATATTAGTATGTAAAGAATGTAAAGAATAATTTTCTGGGAATTAAAGCAATGTTATCCCCTAAAGACAATTACCACATAATTATGGAAAAAAAATTTCTTTCTTAATTTTCAAAGCAAATAAAAACTAAAATCAAAGCTTTGAGTTTCTCATTACGATCAATCTCTTAATTTTAAAGCGACCCCTAGATAATTAATATTATTGTACAATATTTGATATCACACATAATATTATGTACTGTTTGGAAATTATATTGAACCTCTAGCATGTTTGCTTTGAATTGTTTAAGAGACATAATAATATTGTGCAAAATAATTATACAATAATTGAGCGTCTAGGAGCCATTTAAAAGACACTTATAAATAATTTATTTCATCAATAAGAAACTTTCAAATTCTTTGCCGAATGGATAAGAGTCTCATTCGTGTTGTAATTTAATTCCATCCACTTTTATATAATAATTTTAATTTCCAGTAGAGACAATTGCGAGTAAAGTCTCCGGCGATTTCATTTCATTTTAATACCTGATGAAATCAAGATCAGTTATTCTCTCCTCTTCGTGATGATCATAACCATTGACTCGACCCACGTCGACGGTGTCGGTGTCGTCGTCGCCATCATCTCCATGCAAAGTAATCTGCGTGGAAGAGTAACGAACCCCCGCCTCCAGCCAGTCCTGCCGGTGAATATTGTTGTCGCTATCGTTGTCGTTACTGTCCTCTTGCTCGCTGGGCGCAATTTTACGCTCTGATTCGTCGACGACGAGCAACGTGGTGGCAGCGCGGTCAACGCTCGGCATATTCGTCGATTTCTCAATAGGAGACAGAGTCTTGACACCTCCGTTACCGAGCTTTCCACTAGCCACGAACGTTTCCTGCTGTTGTTGCAATTGTTGCTCATCAGGACACGTGGGCGTCGATCGGGCGTTGCGCCCGTCTGTTTTCTCCAAATCACCATTGCATTTTTCCGCGTGACTCACTGTGACTTGCCCTCGAGCGGAATCCGGACTGGAGGACGAGGCACGATGCTCGTCTTCGAAGGACACGTTGACAGCTCGGATAGCTACCGGTGGCTTCGTCGTCGTCAGTGCCGTTTCGAATTTCTCAGTCGAGGTGACGACACTATTCTCTCTTTGCTGATCTTTATCAGGAGACTTCTTCCATCGATCACGATGATATGGCAGAGCACCGGTTAGGTCTTTCCCGCGGGAGTTTCTTCGGATCTCCAGCTTACGTTGCGGCCGTTGATCCTCGGTCAGACTGTTGCGCTTCCGCACGATGTTCACTGGAACGTTCCCCGTGGGATAAGGCTTTTCTGAACCGGTACCAAGTCTGTGATGTTGATCGTGAGACGAGGTAACTTTGTTTCCATTCTCCGACCGATTATCCTCAACAATTGCGTCTGTATTTCGCGTCTGGTTGCGATCTCGTGAATTTCTGTCGTTGGATACATTCTCGTCCTTGCAATCCTTCGTGCACTCCTTGAGGGATTCGTATACAGTTGTACGTCCACCCGTTGGGTCCACCTGTTGCTGTTGTTGCTGCTGCTGCTGCTGCTGCTGCATTTGTTGTCTCCGATTTTTGAACCATACCTGTAAACACACGTGAAATTACCCGCGATATTACGTGATTATATAATCAAGCGCCCCTACAGTGGCGCTGTACATATCATCAAAAAAAGATAATAGTCGTTGCTGATCGGATCTCCAGGGCTTCGTGTTTGGCGGCGGTGGTGCCTGTCTAGTGGGACACGGCGGCCTTGGTGATCTTTTAAGGGCCTCGGCAACCACCTGCCGACTCGGTCGAGGTGGCACCGGAGGCGGATGAGGCCTTTGACTGGTTGCCAGCTGCATTCCGCTCGTCTTTCGAATCTTCTAACCTTCAAAGCGATTGCTCATCCTCTATGACGACATACTTATACGTATGCAAAAAAAATTTACTTTTTGAATTTTACTTTTCGAGCCAACTAACTGCACAATCTCGATTCGCAATTACGTCAATACACGTAAAAATATTTATGCCATTACCGCTATTACTAAACATGGTACTAAATGTCAGCAGTAATACGAGGTACCTTCACCTAGCACGTAAACGATAAAGATTGCGCTTCGTTCAAAATTTTCTCAAGATAAGAAGCGACGTTTATCATCGTCCGTATCGCGTGCGTGTCTATTATAAGCCAACGGAATCGAGGAACGCCGGTAAATAACTCGGCAAGCGAAGTATATTTTGTGAGCTTGACAAATTTCTCGCGTCAGCGAGAATTATATTTTATCACCCGCAAAATTCTTCGTAGGATAGGAATTCGTTGTTTGCAATTTTATTGCGATGTATTGTCAGTCGGAGACGAATATAATAGCCGTTGGATATCTTTGTACAAAATCTATTGCAGCCCGGAGTATTGCACTCGCGAGGCATGCGTTTCTTGGAATTATCTTATTCCCTTAAAACGTACGGACGAGCATGCTTTAAATGCTGATCGGAGATGACGGGAATGTTGTGCAACGTCGCCACATGATTCCACACACTGTTGCGCCAGCGAAATCACCGCAATCTTGCCGCGCGTACCCTCGATTCGCCGGGTTTCCTTCTCTTTCGCCTCTTCTCTTTCGTTTCTCCCCTCGAATCCACCTCGTCCTCTTTATTCGTAAGCGGGTCGCGATCGCGTCGATGCCTCGCGATATCGCCGACGCGATTTTGCATACAATTCTGCGGGAGCCACGAAACGTGCCTTCGTTCGCTCGCTAATAGCTTCATGCGCGGTGTCTTCAATTTCTCAAATACCTCTTCGTTCGCGATCGCGGAATCGACCTGCGATTTTCCACACAATCGCGGGAATCACGTCGCAAAATATTATTCCTCGTGCACGTCAATTAAAAGTCTCAAGAAGCCACTTCCGATTCTCAATACAGGAATTTACTTCGCGCGCATTTCGTCCTTCTCCTTTCTTTCTCTCTCTGTCTCTTTCTCTCTTCAGCTTGTCATTGAAGCTGATCTTCAAGATGACGTTTACGGCCTCGATAGTCGCCTTTCTATCTCGATCGCTTGAGCTTTCCTTCCATGAAGAGTGTACGAGCAGACCCGGCGAATCCGCTTCTTTGTGAACGAACGAGGCAACCTGACTTGCCGCCTTTTGTAAGTAAACTTTCTATCGCATGCCACGATTCACAGTGCGCACCAAACATTCAATGGTCCTGACAAAGGACTTCTTTTCTACCTTTTTTCTGAAGCGTATCAAAATTTATTTTTAACAAATTCGGTAATTAAATTTCTTTATATAAAACTTCTTTATTCTTCCTTTATTATAGGATAGAGGAAGGAACAAAAAAATTTTGTTGGAAGAACCAAGAATTTAATTTAATTTACGTATTGTTATTTCGAATAAAAGAAAATCATCTTCTTTGACTCGAGCCACTTCGTCTTCGCGTCATCCGCGCGTCTCTTCAGCAGTCACTTCCGAGTCTCGCTTGACGTCACATCGCGTCTTCCACGTTTCAGTGCACTGAAATCCACACTTTCTAACGCACAAACAATTGGCAATTTCTTCTCCTTTTCTAAAATTAAAACACTATTGATTCCTACGTCATGATCGCATCAATGATGCCTCCTTTCATCGACTTAGCCTTTCAAGACTTCTCTCGCTCCTGTGATGATAGGAACCAATCGCGAAAAACACTTGAAAACTTTGATTCGGTGAATTACGAGGAATAAGCCAAAACGATCGCACAACGAATGCCTTTGGACAGGTAGTTAGAACAGCGACGATCCCGAGACCCCAGGCGGTATCCCCGATCCAGTATCTCCTCCTCCGTTCAGTCCTTTCCCTCCGTCTCTTCTACCCGATAGCGTCTCTATCCTCTCTTTCTCAACGGACCGACCGCCACAGACTGACTTTGCGGTCCCACAAACATCCTTCGCGATCGGTGGCCACGTGACTGGCCGAGCTCGAGTTCTTGTCAGGTAGTCAACGAGTGTGTGCCTTATGCATGTGTGAGTATGTATGTGTGAGCGAACAAGCCAGTGGGTGAGCGAAGGAATGAGCGTGCGAACAAGCGAAAGAGCGAATAAACGAGTGAGTAAGCGTGCCTAGGTGTGTTCGTGTGTAGAGAGGCACAGAAGGGAGAGACACAAGCGAATGCAAAGAGGACCTGCGGTTGATGGTGATGGTAAAGGTTCACCACGGCGGTCTCGTGACGATCTCAACACTGTTGATCATGATGATGTGTGAGTGCTTGACCTGGTAGGAAAAACTCTTGGATCGCTCGACACGTTACGTAAAATCGCCAGATCTTAGGAGGGGGAGAGGAAAATGCGGTTGCCGTTCTAAACTTTACGGAAAGTCGTGGTCACACTTTCTAGCGTCGTCAAGGCGCTATAGTTTCTTCTCGGGGATGTTGTCTTTCAATGAGATTTTCATAGTGCATTACGATCTCTCGGTCATCTACGCTATAATCATTCAAAATATTAAAAATGAGAAAGTATTAATTTTAAAAGGCAATTTAATTTAAATAAGTGACAAGAGCAAACAACACAGATATTTCTACAAAGTCTGATTTACAAGTATTCTGAAATATTGTAAATCTTTATCCACACTGAAGACTGGTGTGAAACATTTGGATCTAAACGTGTGAATCTTGATATTGTAATTTTGTCAACATTAATTTTAATGTTGCACTGCAGCTTGATTTATTGCCTTGTTATTACTTATTTTAAATTTTAATTCTCTGAGCCTTCAGAACTTGGTTATCAATTTAATTTCGTTATCGTATAAAATTATATTAGATTTTATCGTTATATTACATCGTTGACGTAATGTATTTTCACAGGATTCGCTCGAATGGATTCAATTATGTTCCAGCGCGTTCTAATTACACACATGCACTCACCCAAGATTATTTAAGTTTATGTAAGTCGATTTCGCTGTGCTTCCACAGAGTTACGAGCACTACACTTCACGGAACACGTCACATATCGTTTCGTTTCTTTACATCATATATCTATCGCAGGTGTAGCAGTTAATTACCCGCGAATGTGCGTTCATTTCGCAATACGCATTATTCGCATCGACGCGAACGCAACGGCGATCTTGTGATAAGCGTGAACTTTCTAGAGTTCGTGAGGCATAAAATGTCTTATCGATCATATCAGTTTCCATGTTTTGCCAGAGCATCGTTATAATTTTTCACAAAAGAGATAAACGAAGTAAAGAATACACGTAAAAGATCGCATAGACGATTCCGTAGGAACGCGATGAAAAGGTATGAAGACTCGAATGAATTTTTTATATGATTAGTTGTATGAATAAAACAAACTAGGAGCCACGAATTAAAAGAACTGAAAACTATAAATTAAAAAAACTAGGAGTCTCATGAATTAAAGACTATAAAGGTCAAGAATCAAAAGGAGAAACTAGAAATCATAATTTAAAAAGATTAGGAGTTAAATTAAAAGAACTAGAGAAGAAATAATGAATTAAAAAAGACTTGGTGGTCATAAATTTGAAGGGCTGGGAATCACGAATTAAAAGGGTTGGGATTCATGATTTAAAAGGACTAAGAATCACGAATTAAAAGGATTAGGAGTTACAAATTAAAAGGACTAGAAGGCAATTATGAAACGAGACTGGACTCGGAGCCAATCATCTCGGGGTCCATCTACCTCCATCATTGGGTGTAGGTGTATACCGCGACTGGTGGTATCGCGTGAGAGAGTAACCCATGGTAGACGAGGAGAACGGGAGGAAAGAGAGAATAGAAAGGAAAGGACTATTAAAGGAAGAGGTGAACGAAGCGAGATGGAGAAAAGGGAAGGGACCTATTAGGTCCCCTCCGTCTCGCCGTTCTCTGCAATAGCACGGAGGTCTGTTCACCAGTGCCGTAGCTTGTGCGACATTCAGACTTCCCCCTTTTTCTTTCTCCTCTCTGTTTCGAAGATTACGGGAAGAGGAATCCAGGGGAGCGTGATTACTCTTAACTCGCGCAATTTGTCTTAACGAAGCGATTTCTCTCCTTTAAGTCACGCTCTCGAGTCTACGATTGACGCGATTTTACAAGGTCTTGAAACCAAATTTTTTTCTTCAACTTGTTACGTGTGGAGATATACACCTCATTCAAGACAATCGATCACGTTTCTAGACTCGCTATATCGGGAGATGGCACATCTCTCGGATATCTCACAAATGTTTTCTGTCACTCAACTGAAGCGGAATGACGAAGATAAGATACCAGCGGTATCCCGCAGTCTCACGTGCTCCGTGGAATGAAGTAACCACTGATGATACGCGTTATCGGCTTGCGATCACCACGCGTATCGCTCGCCCATTCACGGCGCAATTAAGCTCGAGGAGGAAGTGGCACGACCGGCCGGCTGAGAAAACGCGGGCCGCGGAATTTATTCACACTCTGTTTCGCTCTGGCTCAGACAAAAACGACTCGTTCCACTTTTGCGACCGATCTCCCGCCGATAAAATGCAAATCGACTCCACCTCTCCCTCCCACCCACGTAATCCGTCCAGTTCCTTGATCGATCGAAATCGGATCGTACATATCACGAAGACGTTTCTGTCCGTCCGGCTGTTACCGTACAACGTGGCCGTCAAAACAAAATTCGATTACTGGGTCACGGGGTTTCCTGGAGTGTGCATTCGAGACGCGGATTTCGAATGCCAATGTCAGACGTGAATCCGTCTGCGACTCTATTGTGCGTTTCTACAAACAGAATTGTCACAAATTCCTCATCCTAATATTCCATAACTTTTCCCTCATTTTCAGACAAAATGTCATGATTTTCCTTAATGCTTTTAATAATATTTTGAATTTTTTTGTATTTTCATCCTGATTGGAAACTGTCAAATATTTTTTTGAGAGAGCAATTTAACATAACAATGATAATTACTGTTTATATCGCGCTAATACTGCTTGTATTTGATCGTTAAGTTAGTAATATTCAAAAACTGCCGAAGAAAAGATGATGTATGTACCTACATTGAACTTTTTTTAAAGTAAAATTTTTTAAAGTAAAAAATTTTAATTTTCTAAAAAATTCTTGACTTTTTTCTGATTTCCAGTTTTGTGGCAACTTTGGCCAATTTGTAGATCAGCGTTTTTTAACCTTTCTTAATTCGTAACACATTAAAAAACAAGCCATTTTTAGAGAGATACATCATTAGCATGCTTCAGCGCTCAGCATAGATCTTTTATCAGATACCGCCAATACAACGTTCAGAAATAAAACGTAAAGTTCTCAAATTTTTATTTTATCGTTTTAAAAGATTTTATTGCAATTATCACTTTGGTTAAAATGAGAATAAACATAATCAGGGTTGCCACAGAAAATAAATTTAAAAATTCCCTGACTTTTCCAGATTTTCCAGATGAAAATGGAAAATTTTCCAATATAAAATATGTAAATTTTAACATTTAAAGTCAAGAATTGTAGGAAAGCTAGCATGTATTATTAAAAACAATGCAAAAAAGATTAGCAGCACACTAAAATTTTGGGTGCAAATTCAAGCAAAAAAAAAAAATAAATAAATTAGTATTGGAAAAAAATGCAATTATCAAAAAAGGCGATCAAATAAAAATACTAAATAAAATATAAATTTTAATTACTTTATTAAAATCGTTTAAGTGTGCGAATTTTGAACGTATTTCACTATAAATATCAGATATAATATTAAATTATTATAACAATTATCTAGAATAGGAGCAGCTTAAGAAAATTGTGAGCAAAGTTCAAAATTCCAGACTTTTTTACATTTTTCCTTGACTTTTCCCGATTTTCCAGATCTGTGGCAACCCTGATAATATTACATAATTTAAATAATTATAATTTTTAAAACATTTTTACTTCGTCCTTGTTTTCTTATTTATTTCTGAAGTTTTACTTATTATTTTTTCTATTTTCGTGGCACACTTGAAGATCATTTGCGGCGTACCGATTAAAAAACCTTGATATATGTAGATTAACTTTAATCTCGGTTTGATTTACTTTTATCATTTCCTAGTTTTAAGAATTAGAAAAATATAAAGAGAAATTAATAAAGAAAACTAAAACCGAGGTTGAAATTAATTTACATTGAAACGGACATATATTTATTAATTCGTAAGCAGAGAATTCATAAAGGACATTTTTTAGCCTCTCTCTTTGATCTTGATAGGTAGCATTGACAAATAATTTTCTTTTTTTCTTAAACGCAATACTTTTATATAACAATCCTTTTTCTTTCTAAAACTCACGATATCATATTCGACATTAAACTAATTCTGACAGTCACTCTGCAATTGTCGATACGTCCGTTGAATCATACATGTTTTTCTTGGAATTAAACATGACTCGTGTTGCTATTTTTATACTCCGTCGTACTTTGAACACCGCGTCGAAAGAAATAAAGTTGAAAGCGGCCGTCTTTTTTACAATCATAAATAATTCAGCCCCGCAGCCGACGTAAATGTTAAATTGACTCGCAAAATCGGCCAGTTAAAGTGCCGACTGAAAATAGTGTTCTTGTTATACGCTGTCGCGATTTGACTTAACCATCCATTCGCGCTTCGCGTTGAACTCCATTAAATTTCGCGTCGGAGTTTCCTCGCGCGCGATTATGTCGGCAAAACGCAATTCCCGCGATTAAAGCGAGAAAAAAAGAGGGGCCCCTCCCCCTTCCCGAGCTCGCGATAGAACTATTTCTAACGCATGGTAGAACCGCAACCGCGTTGCCGGGAGAATGGATTATGCGGCGCGGCTGCAGCTATTACGTTACATTCCCGAACACGCGCAAGATACTGATGACGCGTATATTGTCGGATACAACGACTTATTAATAATTCAACGAGCCAATGCGTTGCCCGCAGATAACAGACCGAGAGGAGAGAGGCTGATTCGCGGTCGCACGCTGCACGTTAACCTTTTGAACCGGAAACGTACTCTTTGTCGCGCGGAGAGATCAGAGCACGAAGGGGTCAAGAGATATTCAAATTTCACTGACAGTGAAGACTCGGATGTCATATGGAAAGAACGGTTTTGCTGAAGTATAAAAATTTAGCTAGATACAGATCTGAAAATAATTTTGTCGGACTATCAAAATAATTATTAAGCTCAAGCTGGTTGCTAGGAAACTTTTTAGCATTGCTTCAACGATCCACATAATTATTTTGATGATATAAATATCTAAAAATTCAGCTAGAAACAGATCTGAAAATAATTTTATTAAATTATCCAATAATTGTACAGACGCTCCAGCTGATTGTTAGAATATTGAAACTTTTTGCAGCATTGTTCGTCAGTTCATCAGAGTTTTTTTTACATAATTATTTTGATGATTCTCTAATGAAATTATTCAAATCTGTATCTATCTAAATTTTTAAATGTTTTAGAAAAATTGGTCTTTCCATGCAGTTTCGAGTAAACAGCGCGACGTCTTTTATACAATTCCTCTCCAAGACACGTTTTTTGTACGCGAAAAGGAGAGATTAATCGCAAGTGCTGCTGTGATGAAAATTCCGAATGGAATGAGGCGTAAAAAGATTTTAGGTATTCACGAGGTGACGAATTTCAGATCAGTCGCGACAACATACGAGAATGTACAACGGGTTGTCGTGTGGCAGGCGAACCTAATCGTCGGAGGATGGACGACTCTAGATAAGCTTCTAAATTTAGACACATTTTCTCTTGGAAAACATATAAATCATTCGTATGGAATTTGTATAAATCTTATTACACGTTTTACGGCGAACAGCGCATTGGATGCGATGAATCGGCTTGAAAAAAAATGCTATGAATAAATAAACATGCCATAAAGCATTATTAGCATTTATTAGCTATTTGATTACTCCTAATGGCTTTTTTAAACAAATTTATGTAGGCTTGATGATGCCGAAAGGCTGAGTTATGTGAACTTGCGAGGTTTAGGAAAAGAGATTCGTTACACAGATTATTTAGATTGTACAAATTAACCGGTATTTATAGTTACTCCTATTTCTCTCTTAAATTCTTTGAAATGAAATCTCACTCTAAAGAATTTCACTCCAAAGAATTTAGAGAAACTTTTTAGAAAGAGATTCCATTCCAAAGAATTTAGAGAGAATTTCAAGACTATCTTAAATAATATATCTTAAGATGCTAATATTCTATTTTTGATTGGTATACTTATGATATCTTAAAACTGTGCTTAAGACTGGTCTTAGATATAAGAACCATGTAATATATATAAGAGAATACCAGCTATAGATATAAACAGGCTATGGGGAGATGTCTAATTTCTCCTAAAATAACCGGTCCAATTTACATCCGAGTCTCTTCAAAAAGGAAACCTCATAAGGAGGAACAAAGAGGCACGCATCGTTTACCTGATCACTCGCTGCGTGCTGACACCTGCGGGCCTGCGGGATAAGCGGCGGTTACTCCTTAAACTTCCACTCCTGGCGACACATCGGGCATATGTGGTTGGTCTGCTGCGAGTGCAGCCACTTCATGATGCAGTGTATATGGAAACAATGCGAGCACTGCCCCCACACTGAAACGAAACGATGTACACGAGCGGTTAAATTAATTTCGTCGGTGTTGGGCAACGGACCGGTGAACGGTCGGGTGCACCTGGCGATTAGCAGCAAGGGAAAGGAAGGGTGGTAACAACGGGAAGAACGGACGGACGTGCGTGCACACATTCGTCGCGTATCGATACCCGAGGGTGCCCAGGGCGAGGGTGAGGGACAGCGGCGCCTACCAGCCGCGTTTCTCCATCGGCCGACCGGCACGCGTCGATCGATATCACGACATCGCGCGCCGTCGCGGATGCGACCTTCTCGTGGCGGTATTTTACAAGTTGGGAGTATAAAGTCTTGTGTTTCATGATGCTATTCGAAAAGAATGATTCTATTGAAGTATCTAAAAATTTAACTAGATACAGATCTAAAAATAATTTCATTAGACTAACAAAATAATTATGTAGGTTGTGCAAACATAGTGAGCCGTAAAAAGTTTTCTAGTAATCACTTTGAGTCTTACATAATTATTTTGGTGGCTTAACAGAATTATTTCTAGATTCTGTCGATTTAGATAAATTTTTAAATAGTTTAGTGAAATCTTTTATTTCATATAGAAATCGCTCCGAGATTTCGGATGGAGAAAGAATCGACAAATCACATTTGAACAATTTAACCACTTTGGCCAGTGGTCGATTCTTTGTCTGAGATCTCGGAGCAATTTATACAGAGAAAGAATAGTTTTGCTAAAGAATCTAAAATTTAGATAGGTCACTTCGTGAACACGAGCACTTAACAGAGATCATCCTTTTTTAGCCTGATTTTTCTTGGCGATCTATAATTATATATTAAAATTTAGAATGATATTCTATTTTATGTGAAAAATATATGTATATAGAATTTAATTAATTCTAACTATATAATTTGTCCCCATTTCCAATTTAATCTAATTCATAATCTTTCTTGTTAAATATGTGATAAATAAAAAAATTAATTATTCATAAAATATAGATACCATACTTAATTGCAGATAAATAAATTTTATTAATTTAAGTAACAGTTACTTCATATGATAGAATTTTTGCTTACATTAAAATTTCTAATTGCATGAATAACTATTTCTAATTTTTTTCTCAAAGAATGTAAAAATATTCAATAGCACTAATAAAAAATATAATATAATATATGTTTTTGTTTAAAGGAACAAGAAGTTATTTTCAAATAAATAAAACAAAAGAGGAAGTAGTAAAAAATAGCAATCGTAAAGTTTACTTTAGTGGAATATTGCAACAAAAATAATGTGTTTCAAGTACCCAGTGGACAGTCATCTCCAGGGATCTTGCAATCTGGACAGCTGGCGTCGAACGGCATCCTGCATATACCGCAGTTGTCATCGTTCGCGATCCATCGCCAGGTGGCGACGCCTGTCCAACCTGGACAGAGAAATACCTCGTAGACGCTGATCTACATATAACTGCTTTACGGCCGAGAAAAACGTACGAATGATGCGAACGTCGGCCGTGACATAACCATAAGTCCATCATCAAGAGATTGAGTTTCATGCATTAGAATTACGTGCACAAGACAGAATGTACGGCAAAAACATTTCGAATGTCACTCCATGTACTTACTCTTTATCGTCACCTTCATCTCGAAAAGTCAGGATCGTTCTCTCGAGTAATAAACGCAATGCCGATGCAACTTGAACGACTTTTCTGCGAATTCTCTGCTATTCTCCGATAACGTGATTTCAGTGAAAATACATTTAGGTAAAATTATGCGTTTATATATCGTGGTGGAATGCTCAACTGACTGCAGCTGCTGCAGCTGACAGAGAAACACGATAACGATAAACAGGGCTGCGCCATCTTAAGATTTTCAAATCGCGATTCGACGTTCGATTCTCGTGCGGAGCTCTGAAGCTCACTTCAGACGATTCGCGTCGATTTTAAGAATAAAATTCTAGTTTTATAGATGCTGTAAAGAAATGTACATATATATTTAAAATATATATTTCAAATAAATATACATTGCACTGTAATATTGAATTAAATTATTATACAAATTCTAGACAGTATTGGATTTCCTGAAGTGAGAAGTAAACAGTAAATAAATATAAATAACAAAGTAAATAAATATAAATAAGAATTTTCGATATGTAAATAAATTCTGCTGTGTCAATATTTATTTTAAGCAAAATATTAAAAATAGACATATGTAAAAAATAACATATATTGAAAAATAAAAATATTGTTAAATCTGACTTCTTAATATGCATTATATTATTCTGTGTCTCTACATTCGATAGATATTTAATTAACTAAAAAATATTAAAACACATAAAATGATTAGTTTCAAATTAGTTAAAATTATATCAGTTTCATTTTTTGCTTTAAAATGCAAAAATAATTTCTATCTTTATTTGTAGCGATCACAGCGATGTAAAGTGATATAATTATATTTTTTTGTCATATCTGCAATGCCAAAGTATCATATAAAATCTATTAGTTTTCCACTTCTATTTGATGCAGAAATAATTTTTTAGATTTATTCGCTACAATATAGATATCTCTTGACTCTTTTTCACGTACGAGAGCTAGATTTGTAAATTCTATCGCTTCCAATTTTTGCTTCACAGTACAAAAAACAATGATTTTATCGTCGTTCGTTACGATGGAAATAATTGGCGTGACGGCATTCGAGTCACGCGGAACGCGCTGGACGTCGCGCTAATCAATCTCCCCCGTCACGTATCTATTATTTCCGAAAAAGCGGGAGGTTGATTGGCCGACGCGCACGATACGTATATATTTTCCGTGTCTATTGCGCGTCAAAAAATCAGACATCGCGCCTACAGAAAGCATGCCGTCGGTTTCCATCGATGTTCGTAACGCGGCGCGACAGTGGCAACCGAGTAGAAACGAAACGCGAGTCGTGACTGCTGACTCCTGTCGCAAGTATTGCAAGCAAGAAGCGGCTCATCGCGACTCGCGAGCGGAGGAGCGCGGCGCCGCTGGACGGCCACGGCACGGTACGGCACGGCACGGCACGGCATCCGTACGTCGTACGTCCCGTACAGCGTCGCAACGACACGGTCAGCAGCGAGAGCGGGCGGCGAGGAGGAGGCGGAGGTGGTGAAGGAGGAGAAGGAGGGAACGGTCGCTGGTGGCTTTCGTCGTACGGTGATGCGAGAGGACCCGCGCAACGCCGGGTAACGTTCACTAGCGGAGCGGAGTAAACGCGCGCGCGTTGGCCGGACGGAGTCGGCGGGCCCGACGTGGCCGCCCATTGCGTTGCGAGTTTCTGTCCCTGAGTCCCTCAGTTTCTGTCAGAAGTCGTGCGCCGAAACGGCCAACGGTATGACGAGCCTCACACGGGCGTCGTAGATCGGCCGCCGCGCCACCGCCGCTACCAACGACAGTCGTTGCGTGCGTAACGTAACGTGCGTTGGTGTCCAACCTCCCAAGTTCGGCGGGGCCTTCGTACGACATGGCGGGCTTTCATGACAGGGATAGGGCCCTGTTCCCGATCCGGAGCATCTCTGCGATCGTGCAGATCTTCAAGAATCAGCTGGAGAACAGCGCCGAGCCGGATCTCGCGTTGCTCTCGATCCTCATCGGCGCAGTCGAGAACTCCTTGACGTGCAATCGCGTCTTCACGCCTCAGGAGAACGCCGTCTACGATGAGCCAAAGCTGCCGCCTGTGGAATACCACATCGCCGAGGCATTATACACAAAGTTCCACGCGGTGATCAAAGGCGCCGTTGACCTCACTGTGTATGACACCAAGTACGCCACTAGAGAACTTGTGAAAAAGGTGTCGGATGTTATATGGAATTCCCTTACCAGAAGCTACTACAAGGACCGAGCGCATCTACAAAGTCTCTACAGTTATCTAACAGCGAACAAGCTCGATTGTTACGGAGTCGCCTTTGCTGTGGTGGCTGGTTGCCAGGTTCTAGGTTTCAAGGATGTGCATCTTGCTATGTCAGAGGACCATGCGTGGGTCGTGTACGGAGAAGATGGCACGGAGACTGCGGAGGTTACATGGCATGGTATGTGGTGCAAAGTCTCAATGCATTAGATGTAAAGTTGTGGTATACTTTGTATACTAACCCGACTAATAGTCTCCAAAGAAAAAATATAAAGTATATTTTTTCTTTCACAAAGTACCATAACTTTACATCAAATAATTTTGAATTTGTTTAAGAAAAGTATTTTTCTTGTTATACAATATAATAATATTTGCTTCTTAAAATTCTTTGATAGATGCAAAATGATAAAAAGATTCAAACCTAGATCTTTTGACTTACACTATTTCTATTAAATTTTACTTTTATTAAATTCTACTTGCGACTTCAAATATTTAAGATAAGAGGTAATTGCAATTTATTACCAGGTAAGGGAAATGAGGATAAACGCGGACAACCAGTGGAGCCTGGTGTAGCGTCTCGATCGTGGTTGTATTTAAATGGGCAAGCTATGGTGTGCACTCGTGCTTTAGAAGTGGCTACCATAGTATCGGCTATAAATCCTAGTCTGAATGCGACTACTGATGCGGTCGAAGTAGCGTTGCTCCACGGTAATTTGGCTGAGTTGGAAGAGGCTGCGCCTACGCCTGGAAGACCACCACCTATAGATCTTTTTCAGGTTTGCGATATTAAAGTATCAATTAGCATCACTAAGTCTGTTTTCTATGACCTAGTATATATTTTTGAAATTTAAAAAGTGAGATTGGTACGTTTAATATTGGGCGAAAGCGAGAAAGAGAAGTCTAGTGTAGGAATAAAAATAGAAAGACCTTATGTACCTTGTTTATCTGTAGATATAATACATGTACATAATTATTCTGAACATATTTTTGTAGGAAGCTGTAAGATCAGCAAGAAAATACTATGGAAATGCGCATGTATATCCTTACACTTATCAAGGTGGATATCTATACCGGCATGAATTACATGTAAACGCGCTTGCGTCGTGGGCCGATGCCGCGGACGTTTTGCGGAAGTAAGTATCTGATATATGCGTTTTTAAAAATCTTTTTTTACATTCTTAACGAGTTCCCTGAAACTGCGTTTGGAGAGTAGCAGTGAAATGTGTTAAATGCTTCATTGATATGCGGTTTGTTAACGGTGAATAATAGAATTCTATGCGCGATAGATATGATTATTCGCGGGACGACGGGGAAATATACAAGGAATTGCTGGAGATTGCCAATGAATTGATACCGCACGTAGTGCGCGTCGACAACGCGCGTTTACTACGACAACCACGTTGCTTCGCATACCTGTTGAGATTCTACGACGGTATCTGTCAATGGGAGGAGGGCGCCAATACTCCTGTATTACACATAGGTTGGGCTCGACCGCTGGTGAACACGATCTCGAAGTTCGATGCCAATATACGTGCTCAGGTCATCATAGAATGCTACGAAACAGAGGTGAAACAAAAGGAGGAAACGGCACAGAAGAGAGAGACGAGTCCCGAGGAGACCTTGAACAATAATAACAACTATTGTAAGACTAAGGAGAGAGGAAACGCGGCGCGAGATCTGATCAAGAGCCTAGAGTCCAAAGTGCCCTCTAATTCTGCGTCAACACATCCCAGTATTCAAGCTCTAACAGCAGCCTGCAGCGAGAAGATACTTAACAGAGATTACCTACTACAGGGTGGTGGTGAGCCGTTTGTCGCGCCGCCGGACGACCCTCTACTTCTCAGGAGAATGTCGAATCCGAAGTCCTTCCGGAGGCTGACTCCGAGAATGAAAGGCCAAGGATAACGCTATACAGCCAGAAAATGAAGGGTCTCAAGGATCTGCTGCTCGCAGAGAAGCTCAACACCCACGCGATCTCGCTGCAGCTCACGGCGCAGAGTCAGGTACAAATCGGTAAGAAGTCGCGTGGTAGCGACGACGTGGGAGTCAGTCAGCGTCCCAAGAGGACGCGTCGGGAATAGTATAAGATCCTCGACCGACGTTTCGGTATAGTGAAGTATTGAAAGTGCCACCACATTTCTCGAGATTAACTCTCCGCTCGTGCTCGCCGAGCGGAAACGCGAGACGCAAATGGCCGGCTATCAGACGCGGTCCGCGCAAATAGTCATTAAGGTATACCAACCTCCTCGCTCTCGGGGTCTCCCGTTGATACCCGGGACGCGGATTCTCCTCGGCTGGACTCCTCTAGAATATCGCCTCGAGAGCGTAGTGATGTATTTTGTGCCGTTTGATTTGAATGAAGCCCTCCACGGTGCTCTTCTCGTTTTGCAACGATGCCGCGGGTCCTTGCGAGACAACGTTTACGTTACCGTCGGGGATATAGCGCCGTTAGTATCTATAGAGTATAAAAGTAGAAATGGAGAGAGAAAATTGTAGAAAAGTACAAAAAAGTTTTCCCCACTTTTTAAGTTAATAGACGGAATCGTGAGAGTCGCTCCCCCGTTGTCTCGCTGATCGTCAACCCGTGACTCGAGTATTTTTATGTGTAAATATTTTTCTTGATTCTTCCACAGTGCGTATAAAGCTGTGACTTGCGGTATAAAAGGGGGAGAGGAAAAGAGTGGAAAAAGAATCGAATATTGTACCTAATCTCTATCTTCGCGGGTAGACCAATCTTTTTGGAGCATAGTTATTTATTCTACGAATTATACAATTTGCCGACGATATCGCCGACGGATGCGTTTGTCGGCGATCGTCACTTTGTCATACGTATATAATCTCTTGTTGCACTCTTATTTATTGATTCACGTTTTTTCTATTTGAAGCTATTGCACTATTGATAATTACGATTGACAAGTTGCCGTTAATGTTTTTTACACTTGGTAGTTGAACTTCTGTTAGAATTACGCTTCTACGATCTAGTAAGGGAAACACATTCCACTCCGCATGTGGTGCAAACTAATTAAGTTCTTACCCTAAGGTATTTTTAAGCATAAAATTCTCGCTTATTTTTATAACTATTTATTTTCGGAATAACTCTAAGTATTTAGATTTATAAGACTTCTCTATTTTACTGTTTGTCGATAGAGGCGGAATGAACGTCCGAACAGTTCATCATCCTTGATTTTTGAATCTGAATTATCTGAGTGACAGATGATGTTTTACTGCAAAATAGAATAGGAGCGCGCTTTTAGTATCATTGTATTATAAATCGTGTATCGTTTGATCACCGATCATGCATAATCTCTCTTCCGTCTTAATATAAGAATGCGTTTACTCTTGTCCGGTAATGAGATTCGAGAACTGTCCGTGGCGTCTTCATTCATGCGCTCTAGAGATTCGTATTCGTTTTGTCTTATCTTTTTAATCCGTCGCGAAGGAAAAAAAAACAGAATGGCGACCCTTACGATCGCACTTGCATTGTGACTATGATCATGTTTAGTTAATCGTCGACCCATGCGCAAAACTAGTAGTCACGCTTTTCCAGCTATTAATCGCCTTCAATCAGACGCGGCTCTACGATCCATCCTACGATTTTTAATTAATACTCTCTCCCAACTTTCGCAGGTGACCGATACCCGTCGCCTGTCTGTAGTACGTAAAACTCGCTGCATGTCAAACGCATGCCGGGATTCTTTGATGATGTTTAAAGCGGATTGTTGTAGAGTATGTTGTTGACAGGAATGAAAATATAATGTCCGAGCTGATCGACGATAACTTAATAATGAAGGGCGCTATCTTACTGTGATGCTGAATATATATATATATATACTATATTATATTATATTATATTATATTATATTATATTATATATATAAAACAAAGTATATATATATAAATATAATTATACGATTTAATAACCGTAGTTGATAATGAACGACGCGATCCCGTGAACGCCGTGTCGCGACTATAAAATTAATTAAACGACAGTAGTATTAACTTTAATCAAGGAACATGAAATACCGATATCGCAATGGCAGTCCGTCGCCTGTGGCGCGTATTAAAATTCATGCAAGATTGTTCTGCGAAAAGAACGATGTTGTACATCATTTTCTCTCATTAAATTTCCGTTACCACCTATATTTTTTCTTGATATAAATTTTTCAGCGAGTATTGCTGTTAGCGTTATCTTCTCTTGATGCGTATCGTCGTGCGGCTCTCTTGACGCTCACCGAGACTGAGTTTCACCGACATTCCGATCTGCCTGACTCCGAGCAGTGATTTCTTATAAAAAAAAGATCTGAAATGCAAATCACATAATCATAATCATCACTTATTATTAATCACTCTTAAGGATATTCGCCAGCGGCTCTCTCGAGAGACTTATGAAAGCAATCATCTTTTTGATTACTATATTCGTATAGTCTCATGTACATACGTATCCTTTGTAATATATTCTACATTACCCATGTATAGTCTGCATGTATAATACAATCGCTGCTCTGAATTAGCTGCAACCAACGTCGGTGCGACCAGCTCTGAAATAAAGGAGAATAAAGATTGCGCGCGTTATATGACTCTCCAGAAATGAGCGCTTCATCCAGAAATAACAGTACGAACTCTCATGGTCGAAATTCGGTACATTCGCAATACAATTTTTTTTTTTACACACATACACACACCTTGTACAACACACACCTCCCTATTCAGTATTCTTTCCTTGTCCACGATTACGGAGCGTTTTAAAGACTACAGGGATTATAATGTGCATAATGGTAGGGATAGTAGGTGAAGATATGGTGCATCAGAACAGTATTTTTGTATTTAATGGAGGATATGTCCTCCGATCGACGTATTATCGGTGATGTTTGCGAGCGTAGGAAAGCAGAATGAAAACGATTGCCGGAACGGCGGCCACGTTAATTGGCTTATCGTGAAGCATTAATACTTTTTCCGTAGACTTTCGTCCGGTGAGTGCAACCGTGTGTGTAATCATCGATCGCGCGGACCAGGCAAATCTTGCGTGCGGGTGAGACGAATGGCGACTTTGAGAAACTTCTTCGAAAATAATAATAACGAAACTGATGAGATCGTCGCGCGACATTCATCGCCTCTTTGCCAGTCACGTCCTCTCGCCTTCGTTCGCAAACGATTGCTCGGAATTATGACACTTGCGCAAAGAATGTTTTACCTTTGCCCCGAGTTTCTACGTGTTCTTCGATAAATTTGAAATGGATCTTTATTAGCGAAACTAACAATAGTGTGAGAAATTATTTCATCTGCAATTAATCGGACAATTCAGGTCTCTCGGGAATTTTATTTTATACTTCCCTGCGAAGAAAATACATTTCAAATTCGTCGAGATAACATCTCATTATAAATAGATTTGGGGTGAAGGTGGGATATCTTGTAATGAAAAATTGTACACGGTAAATGGTAGAATCTCCGTCTTTTTATCTGTGCCCTTTTTACTTCCAACTCCGTATTTTGTCTTAAGTAAGAAAGTAGTACTCGCCATACACTTCTGTCTTTCTTCTCTTCTTTTTTTTAAATACGACTACTCGAAGTTGCCTCGCTTTTTATCGTAAAGATGATTGATTGAGAACGAGTTGCTTATAGCATCATTTTATACGTCAGAGCATATTTTAACATATTAATTAGGCTTATAGTCAGTGAGAATTTTTATCGCAAGGGAAAAATATTCTAGATACGATCGTATGACCATTTTTTAATTGTTGTAGATAAATATGCAGACGAATTTATAGTATATAGAAAAGTAAATAAGTTGTCAATAAAATCAACTGCGAATAAAATTTCGTATTAAAAAAAAAATGCTCTATATCTATATTTGTTTTTATGATTTTCTTAGTAAATGTTCAGTGTATAGAATTTTGTCTATCACGGTCTGAATTGTACCTGGAAGTTTTCTGTCTCTCAATGTGAGAATCATTGCTGTCGAATCCATCCGGTATATTTATTTATCTTTATGTGCCATAAAGCCTGCCTGCTGAATGTGCATGATTCATGCTGCATACTGTAACGACACGTGTTAGCCACACCGTTAGTTTCTTTATGAATGCTTCATAGGACTGATCAATCTTTTCATCATGCGCAACTCATTCCGCTTGTTTCCATCATTTCCTTGACACTGGAGCGTATTCACACCGAGCCTCTAATCCGAAAGGAGATCTTAAATGCGAGTCTAGTTTAATTTACATTAATAGAAGCCCCATTGTTCGCATTGCTTTTCATAGAATCGGCACTTCGGGCTTGTACGACATGACGAAGCTCTTGAGACAGAGAGTACAAACATCCGAAGAATGTTACAAAGACGATGCCCCAGATCCTTGTAAACGTCTTTCAAACATTTCTCGGATTTTGCATTGTCGTTCCTATGCCAGATTCAATCAGCAAGAGAATACAATTGGAAATCTCGGAAACTCGCGTTCTTGCCGGAACGACATCTCATTTGCTTGACTCGTACTTTATTAATTTCCATGACAGACGGACGATGCGATACTTCGCCGGTTAAAGAGCTCTTGCAACGAATGACACATTACGAATCTGAACTCTCGTGCAGATGACTGTGTAAGGTTCATTAAAATAGTTCTTTGACACTATTGTGTACGACTCTTAAACTCTTTCCCGAGCGTTACACGTCGATACACCTTTCGCGCTTGTAAGATGCGCTTTGAGATTTATTCGTGCGAACGATATTTCATTCAGAACTTCGTAATGGAGATGTACTTCCACGTGAGGACGTGTTAATTAGAGATATATAGGAAAAAAAAGCGCTATTAGAGTAAAACTAAGTCCGAATGTTTAAACATCTCTACGACTAATTACACTTGCTAAGCATAACTTCTCATGTACTTAAGCGAACAAAACCGAAGAGGAGCCTCGGTGACGTAAGCGTTACACGCAGAGCTGCGTGAAATATTACTTCACAGTGTTTCGATTATAGGCAGTCAAATATTCTCTCGCATAATTACTTCTCCTCAGAAAGCGCAGTAATCGGGGCGTTCCTCGGACGCCATTATACATAGATCTAGAGATTAGAAACGAGCTAATTATCGATACACACACATTTAACGCATAAATAATAGACAGTGAGATATGGAGAATGTACGTGATGCTCGCAAGAATGGAGTAATATTTTGCTTGTCTCTGATTACACCGATAACGATAATCGCGTCGAGATCGACGATCCGGATTCAGCCCGGACGTCGTGAACACGAGGAGAAAAAAAAAAGAATGAAGGAAGAAGGAGAACATACGCTATTCTTCCGCAATGCGATTAGAAGGATAGGCGTATCGCGACACAGCAACAGCCAGTAGTAAGCCGCCGGAATCGCGATGTCGCGCGGCAGTAAAAAGCCGTAGCTTCTTTTTATCTTATAAGGATACAAAATGCATAATCCGATCCTTCGTAAGTCTGGATTCTAGTTGAATATTGGCTAGATCTAGTATTAAGGACTGTCGCTGCTGCCGGTATCGCGACACGGCGGCGAGCGAGCGTTTTCGCGTGGTCTCGAATTGAAGGGAGTGTAATCGCAGCTAATTGTTAAACTGACAGAACAGTGAGACAGACAGATCTTAAGACATCCTGGAAATGTCTTGTTTTTTTCTGTGGATTACAATAAACTATTTTATTCTAACCAGTGGTAACAGTTCAATTGATCCCCGTACTATCCACTCCTTACGTAAAGTGCCCTTCGAGCGCTTATATGTTACAAAAACATGGGAATATACTTTACATTTGGTTCTTTTCAGGAATGAAGATATCGTTAAAGTACACATTTCTCTTTATTGATAGACTCACGGTCTTTAGGAAACGTCACTTTCGTACATTATGTGGAAATTATGCTTCGTCACTTATTTCAAAGGAGAAATTCCTTGCTGAGAGCGCGTCACTCTCGTGCCGATATTCACTTTAGCGCGTGCGACGTTTCCACTAATACTCTATATGTATATAAGATTAATATAAAATGCGTAATAAATTACAGAATTAAAGCGGTCCTTAGCTCGCTAGTAATATTTGGTCATTTGGTCGCTTTTGTAAAATCAAACGTTGATATTGCTTAACGCACGTTGCCCTCATACAGATGAATATCCAGACATATACTTTGTCGGATGATCCAGATGGTAGTTCTGTTGTCAACGCACGAATCCTCGAGTAGAGGAAACAGTACGATGGTAACTTATACTTTACAATAGAATCTAATGAATTTATATAATACAAAATGCTGAAGAGATCGCCGAAAGAATTGTGGATATATTATTTTCGCTCAGTGTTTACGCACCTCCACAATCGTCTACGGTCGTCTCCGATCGATCTATTCTACATTTATACGTTTAGGTGAAGATCGCGTTAATACTGTACTTACAAAGATCATGTTCATGCGATCCGAGCGATCGAGAAAAAAAAACGAAGATAATAAATGCTATC